TGGGGGGTGGTACTCGCGAAAAAACTTGTGAAAAGTGGATGGCGGTCGTTAACGCGTGATTTCATTCGAATGCTTCAAGATCCACCACCCACCTGCCTCCCCACTTCACCCAAGTGCTTTCATCCCTTACACGCCGCTACCAACGTGTACCTTTCGATCCCCCTAAGTAGACGTAAATCTTCCTCGTTACTTTTTCTAGTCTTTTTTTCATGCCTCCCCTCTACCCCTATTTTACCATCAATATGTGTATATATACATATATATATAGATTGGGTATACATGTTACTCGACGTTTGCATTCACTGCCTTCAATGCTCACCCGCATAGCGCGAAAGGGTCTTTTCAATTATATGGCCGCTCCCGTGGGAAGCGCTACCCCGATTATCTATATACAAAAGGGGTGGTGATGCGCCTTCTTACAATACCGAGTACAAAGGGGCGAATACTTGTCGAGGGCTTTAAGCTTGTTCGAGCGGCTTCTCCGGTCGCAAGACGTGGTGGGTGAAGGGTGAAGGTGGAAAAAAAAAGCTTCAACAAGTCAAGCGCGACGTTAACGCGAGTCACGGCGCAAGGCGAAGTCAAGCCTAAGAGAGTGAAGCGCGTGAGGGATGGGAAAGGGGAAGGTAAAAGGGGTTGAAAGTGGTACGGGCGTAGAAGGGGGTGCGGCGGGGTAAGAAATGGAGGGTAGATATGAGAATCCCAGCAGTGACTTCCCACGAGGTGAAATAAAATATCGTATTGTTCTCTTCAGTTTTTTCTTTTTTTTTTCTTTTTTTTTTTTTTTACAACCCTTAGACGCTTCCACGGAGAAAGCTTCGCCCACACTTATGGGAAGGTGTTGGATTTCGCGCAAGGCAAGACCGCCCTCTTTGCTTACCGTACACGCACGTAAAACGAGGGATAATCATGCGGGGTGAAATTTTTTTTTTTCAAAAAGCTTTTTGCCCATAATTTTTTCGAATTCACGAAGTTTACCCGATTTTTCAGATACTTTCCTTCTCTTTGTCTCACCGTCGACCAGTCGTTTATCCTCCTCAGGAAAAACTTTCCACGGGGTTCGTATGGCAACAGTGGGTCCGGCCCTTTCTTTTTTTTTTTATACGGGATTGCACGGGGGTCCATGGGAAACAACCCTGTAGGTGAACTACATATATCGTCCTTATCCGGCGAATTGGAACGCGACGGGGGTAAGGGAACGACATCGGGGCAGAATTTTATGGGATAAAAATCGAGCCCTCGACCCGCAAGCGGCACAGTGTGCGGTTACCGTCTAAGAAGAAACCAACCCCGCTCGCTTTTCACCCTCCCGAGCGAGGGCGATCGTCCTTCGTCCTTTATGGGAGAAATAGCCCCGACGGGCATATCCGACCACTCAAGACAGCGGTGCACTCGTTCATTCGTTCCCCCGCACCTCCCGGTGCGACACTTTTTTTTCGGTAATAACAAAAATAAGGCTGCTCTTGACTTTTTTTTTTGCTACGCGACTGGAATACGGAACATTACTTTTTCGTGGGTTTCATGGAAAGTCACGGTACTTAGGGATGATATACGTCATCGTCCCTTGTTTAGAGTGCGATGCGCTTGTGCTAAAGGACTACGTCATTTTGCACCCCCCCCTAATATTTAAACCTAAATCAACTGGACAGAGAGGGATGGTCATTGAGAGAGACTGATACTGGTACCTATGTAATATAGGGGTTGGTTCTACTGCAGGATCTGCAGGATAAACAATTTTTATCCGGTAAGGGGGTTGGACTCGGTGGCTGGGGGATGAAGCACTCCGCCGGGCGTAAGTTTGATGAATGAGGTCCAAGGAAGGGTCTAAGTGGGCAAACGCGATTCTGGATGCTATTTTTTCCCTTCCCTCCCCTCCGCCCCCACCCCCCAGAGTGGGGTGAAATTGGGTCAAAAGCTCCATCCTTGATCTCATTTTGGCTTCTTCTTGACTCACGTCTTCTCTCTCCCTCCCTCATCACGATAGCATCTGAGCTTCTCCGGAAGCTTCATGAAATCCTGACGGATCATTAATTCCTTGGGCACCTGCTGCATTTCGACTCAACAAGTCCCTGTGACGCTGGCCAATCAGAACTTACGATTCCGGGTATTAACTGCGCGTTCCAGACCTCAGAGACCGGAAGTCACTCAAACAGGAAACCGGATGTCGACCCAATAAAGTTTGGTAAGAAAATTGCGCGGTCAGGGGTTACTGGGTCGGCGTGTTCCCAGTAAACCCCGCCTAGAAAGAACAAGAGAAATTGGGCCGTGAATTACGAGAAGTAAAGGGAAAAATGGGGGATGGACCTAGAGAGCTCATGCGCGCAAACCGACTGGAGACTCGACTTCCGGTTCTTCGTGAGAATGATCAAGAACCGTCAGAAAAAGTCTGCCAGTAGATCTTAAACTTTTAAACGCTAATTGGGTCAGTCTACGTGAACATTGTCAGTGAAAAAATTCATCCGATGCACCCCCCTCCCCCCCCCCCCCCGGTATCAGCCGACTCAAAATTTAGGTCTAAGGGCGGCGTTTCCATTAATCCTCACACACTCTAATACGCATAACGCGGTTCTGCGTGCATCCGCCCTCAGGTGAATTATCGTCCCGCAAAATGTTACCCTCTTGAAATTTCAACCCTCTGATCGTCCCGTCTATCTGCACCCTCTGCCCAGGGTGTCGAACGCGCATTTTCCAAGTCAGTTGCCAAAGAGACAGGAAAAGAGGGGTGACTCGTTCAAGAGCCACAAGTCGCCGCCGTTCACCCTCTGACTCATCCACGTCCATCCCCCAGTCTGACAGAGTCCCTCCCCCACTTCCTCAGGCGTCATGGCCATTTCGATACAACCCCCCTTGGACATCCCCTCCAAAGTGCAGATTTCCTCCAAGCAGCCAATCCATCCGGGGGTAACTTTTAGCAGCCCCACCTGAATCTCTTCCGAGTCCCTGATCAGGTTTCTATGCATGGGATTGACGGGGGTTCAGGCGGAAATGCAATTTCCCTCTAACTCAATATTCCCAACGTTTCTGCAACGGGGTCG